ACTATCTTTAAAGTTAACAGCATTAAATGTAAAACTTTTATTGTATCTAGGTTTATTAAAAGTCAAATAAGTTCATGTTATCTCTGTTACAAAATCTGTCAGTAAGAAAAATAATTGGCATGATGATATTTTCATAAGTAAATTATCTGTAAGAGATAAGAGTGTGTAGGTGAACTCTTTAAGAGTAACTATGTTTTATGATATGTCTACTTAAAAATAGCTTCTTCAAATCTTTTTGGTAACTTGAAACTTTAGAATTTTGCTATGTTAAGTTAAATGATGGGAATTCATTGGCTGTCGAGATCATTTCCAAATAAGACAAAATACTGAAAAATTAATTATTAAGCAAGTCTAAATTTACCTACTTTTGTCTTCTTATTAGAGAAAAATGAAAGATGTTTGGATTTTTTACACACATATCTTGTACCACATTGAGGTAAGAAATTATGCTATGAGGAAATGTATGTTTCTAGAAATTATACAGTGCGTCCCTAAGTTTGCCAATCTGGAAATGCGGGTGCAACAGGCAGTTCATAATTGCGCATATCACATCATGAACTAAACTTGCATCCAGATGAATTAAGTACTTAAATAACAAAGACAAAACTTTAATACTCTTAATAGAAACCATAGGAGAAATTAGGATTTCCAGTAATATGACTGTAGTGTAACCTGTTGGCTATTTACAGGCTTTTCTCTTAGGCCAATTGTTCTCAAACATCAGAGTGTATCTGAATCACCTGCAGGGCCTGGGAAAGCACTTACTGCGGGGCCCCACCCTCAGGGTTTCTGATCCTGCTGGTCTGGAGTACAACTTGAGAATCTGGTTTGTTTTGACCTCAGGGTAGGGGAGGATTTCATAAACAAGTCATCAAAACAAAACAAAAAATAATAACCTTAAAGGAAAAGATGATTAATTTGTTTCATTAAAATTAAGAATTTCTATTTAACCAGAAATACTAACAAAAGAGAGAAAATACAAGCTCCAAAATGGAAAATGTAAGCAATATATATAAATGAGAAGGAATTTAACACAACTCCCACAAATCTTGAAGAAAAAGAAAAACAAACTCATTTCTCACACGGACAAGAGACATGAATGCAGTGCCAACAGGTGCCTGCTAAGGCCCTGTGGCCCCCAAACTTCCACCCTTAGGCATCTGCCTGCTCCTCTTCCAGAGATAAACTCCCGACACGTGTTCGCCTTCACAGAATGAACAGCCCTGGGAAATGATAGCCTCACCGCAGCTCAGGCTGACTTGTCTCAGCCCACATCTCCTCCTTATGAGGGTCATAAATTCCACTGCCTTACTTGTGTCAGCCCATGTCTCCATCTTACTGGAGTCCTAAATCCACTATCCTCCCACATACCGAAGCCCCTTACCTCACTTACAGCCAATCAGAAATCTGTTCCCCCATCCCTTTGTGTTCACAGCGCCTTTCTCAATAAACGACCCTGCACATTCACACTCGGTGGACATGCAGCCTCCTCTGGTCTGTGTGGCCTGCTGTTGCCGGTGGCAACGTACCTATTAAACTTTTCTTTGTTCTTAAACTTCTCCCTTTCTGGTAAATTCTTCTTACCAACCCATGTCACTGGCCCTGCCAAGTGTCCCCCAATCCTCTGCAGATACAGAAAGATGACTGTAATTTTTTAAAAATTTTATGTAGGCAAATATGCCTCTTTCTCTTCCTTTCTTGTTAACTTTATGGTCTCCCCTACTTCTGATTATACAGATTATACACTTCTTAACATTCTTTTTCTCTTCATTGACTTAGAGATTTTTATACTCATATCTTTAATCTATCTGGAAACTTCTTTCTTCCTTTGTGTGATGTACAGAGTCTTTTTGTTTGTTTGGTTTTTTCCAAACAGATAGCCAATTACGATGGTAACATTTGTTAAATAAACATTCTTTCCCCAGTGAATTGAAATACCATAGTGTCACAGAAAAAGCTTTCAGACACAGCTGGGCTTTTTCTGTCCTCTCTATTCTTTCCATGAATGTATTTTGTTTATTCCTGTGTTAATAACTTGTTTTGAATAAAGCAGGGCTCCCTTCACTACTTTGTTCAAAATTTTCTTGGTTATCCTTGGGCATTTGTTTCTCTGCATAAAGTTTAAGACTCCCGTTGGGTTTAAAGTGAGAATTATATTAAACATAAATATTAGTTGAAGAGGGAAGGATGTCTCCATATGAGATTTTCTTTCAGTAACGTGGTATCACTCTAATCATACCATGTTGTCTGTTTTTCAGTAAGATTTTATAGTACTGTACTCTAAGATTTATAGGATTCTACTTTCTATGGGCAAAAGATACTGAATGGCTATCTTATATCCAGCCACTTTTTCAAGTTCTCTCTTTATTCTAGTCATCTCTTGGGTTTCTAGACATACATTATATGGTCTGCAAACAGAAAAAAAAAACTCACAAATTTTCTATTATTTATACAGATTTCTTCATTATCTTGTATATTAGCTAAAACTGCTAAAACAAATTTGAAAGACAAATGGTAGCAAGCATCAATATCTTACTTATTGAATGGAAAGGTCCTCAGTATTTTAGAGTTTAGGCTGATGTTTGTTGCTGGATGTTGGTAAAGATGTTTACCATCAGAGACGTCACCTTAGATGTGAAGTATGGTACACAGTGGGGCCACATCTCAGAGGAGTTTGTTTCCTCCCAGTGTACTGGAACAGCTTAAAGCATCTGTTCCTAAAGGTCAAAGGTATAAAACAATCTGGACTTGATGCCTTTTTTAGTGATAGGCTTCAAATGACCTTACCAATTTCTTCTAATGTTATTGGTCTTTTTAGGTTTTCTAATTCCTCTTGGATCAAATTTGGTAGTTTATATTTGGCAAGAAAATAATTCTTTTTCTTTCTTTAAGATTTTTTTAAAGAATATTAAAATCTAATAATCTGTCCTTACTTTAAAATATTATTTGTATTTATGATTATATTTCTTTCTTATTCTGAATGTTGTATATTTAATTTTTTCTCAGTCAGGTTTGCAAGGATTTACCTATTGTAGTCTATTTTTTTAAAGTTTTTTTGGGGGGTGGTGTAATTATGTTTTGTTTATTTGTTTGTTTATAGAAGAGGTATTGGGGATTGAAACATGTGCTAAGCACGTGCTCTACCACTTGAGCTATACCTTCCTCCCCCTTTTTTTAAAAAAAAAGAATCAACTTTTCATTTTACTTATAGTTTTGATTTATAGTTGTGATAGGTTAAATTATCCAACCCTAGAATCTGGCCCTAGAATCCCACATTCTGGAGCGGTGCAGAGGAAGTGAGGCAAAGTGAGGGTAACAGACCAATGAAAGCAGAACAGTGGGCTGAGAAAAAGTCCCCAAGAGATGCCAGTAGGCCAAGGGGATCCCCAAAGCAACTGGCAGCATCTCAACAGCCCCTGCTCTTGCCATCTGACTCTCCGAAGGGGGAGGGTCCATCAGCGGGCAGTGGAGGAGGAAGCTGCCTCCCAGATGAGAACACCGAGGGAAAGTCAACTTTGAGGACAGGAGAGCTGAGCTCGGCTCAGACACCCAATATGAGACAGTCTTCTTGTTCATTCTTGATCAGGAAGATCATGTTTGACACAGGGTCTGCCCTGTGCTCCCCTCATGTCTGGCACCTTTCAACTCCCCAGTCCCTACCTCTAGGCATGCTAAGGCAAACTTAAATAATCAATCATGTCTAGATATAAACTTTTATTTGATTAAAATTCAAAGAGACTTAAGGCTTTAAAAGTCTTTCTTTAAGAAGAAAAATCACAAATTAATGTCTGCTAAGAGGTCCTTTTTTAAAGAGGTCGTACACTCATATATTGTAAGCTATGCCTTGGGGTTTTGTGGATTCACTCCAGTTTCTTACTCTCCTATGATTACAGAAAAGTGAAGTTAAGTGATGTCCTGATCAGGAGTTGGTATATGTACTGACTAAACAAAGGAAGTGAATCGACATAGTTTACAGATTTTTCAGCAAAGTGGTTAACACCGAAAACTTTAAAAATTAACCTTAGATAAATAACAAGGGATATCCCATTGTACAGCACAGGGAGCTATATTCCATGTCTTGCAATAACACATATTGAAAAAGACTATGAAAAGGAATATACATATATATATAACTGAATCACTATACTGTACATCAGAAACTAACACATCATAAATCGACTATACTTCAATTAAAAAAATTTTTTTTAATTAAAAAGTTAATGAAAATACAAAATTAACCTTTACTCTAGTGACCTAGAACAGCCAAACTCCTATCTCACTCCATTAATTTACATTCAAAGACAGTGCTCTCAAGAGTATGTGTTTTTAATAAATGAAGACAGGAGGAAAATAAAATAAATACCAATTCTTCAAAATCTAACAAAGAGATAAAAAGTCACCTCCTTACTCATAAAGTTAAACTTAGGAAATAGAAGTGTCAGAAAATGTGGGGAAGAAACCTAGAGCTCTTGCCTGTGTTAGTTTATCCAGCACATGGAATGTAAAGTCCAATCAATGGCAGCTTAGATGTTATGAGATGGCAATTTCCCTCCACCCATGTGTCTATATTTAAAACCTCACATTCAGGCAAATTCTGCAGTTCTGGGGCCCCCTCAGGGGAAAATACAAATAATGGAAACAAATGGAACAACGACCAGTGGGAATGAGATATTTCTAAGAAACTACGAATGGATAGTATCTAAATTGTTTTACTTTTTACATCTCATTTATAAATACGCTGAGATACTGACCTGTAAGATGTAGAAAATGACAGCTATCAGACCAACCCAGCTGTGCAGACTGTACATATTGGGGATGTTCCTGGCATTGTGGAAATCAAAAACGGCCACCAGAGCAATAACGGCGAGAATGGTAGCAACCGTGTGTAAGCCCGCGTGGATGGATTTCATCAGGAGCTTGCTGCATTTCCAGGTCCATGGCAGTCTGTATACAATGATGGCTAGAGAGACAAGAGGCGACAGAACATTTGGGGTTTTTCTGAATCAACATAAAATGAACAGCTTGACACATTGAACACTCCCTATTGTGAAATCCTTTTCTCCTGGCTTCTCCTTCTCCCTTCTTCCCTGCCTCTCAGTGGTTCCTTCTTGGGCTGTTTGCTGGCATCTCATTTACTCCCAACTTGTGAACAAATCTTGGTGCCCCTCAGGCTCAGTCCTAGGACTTTTCTCTCCCTCTGCATGCTCTATGGGTGATCTCATTCACTATTTCACTGAAATGCAACCCACATGGCAGGAACTCCAAAATTCTCATCTCCAGCCCAGAACTTTCTTCTAAACTCCAGACTCACATAATCCAATGGCTTCTCAACATCTCCATATAGATGCCTCTCAAATATCTCAAACTGAACACATCCAAAACTAAATTCTTAATCTTACAATCTGGTTTCTTCATCTAAGCGTCTTTGATAAGAAAAAGACTAAAGAATAGAAGAATATGCACAAAGATTTAACTAGACGAAAGAGCATGTCCAAGTTTTTCACAAAAGAGAATATCCAAGTGGCTAATAGACATAACAAAGATATCAACTTCATGAGTCAACAGAGAAATGAGAGTAACTCACCACATATGTGAGTGGCTAAACATGGAAAAATACTGAGTACTGGAGAGGTTGTGAAGCAATCAGAACCCATGTTTTGCTGGTAAGAGTTTAAATGACAACAAACACCTTGGAAAACTAGCAGTATCTACTTAAGCTAAACTTATGTATACCTTATGATCCAGCAATTCTACTCCTGGGTATATAACTCAAAGAAATATGTACTTATGTTCACCATAAGAATATTATTAGCAGCACCATTTGTTGTGACCAAAACCTGGAAATTTCCCAAATGACCATCATTAATAGAATGAATTAAATAAATTGTGATATATTGATACTATGTTATAATATATAACAAAGAGAACGAATGATCTAAAACTAGAACTTCACTCAAAGATATGGACCAAGCTATAATGTCAGTGCCAAGAACCCAGACATATACAAGTATATACTGTATGATTCAATTGACATGAAGTATAAAAACAGGCAAGACTCTTCAATAAGAAGTCAGGATAGTGGATGCCCTTGTGAGCGTGCAGCAACTGGAAAGGAATGTACAAGAGATTTTTAGGCTTTTGCTAATATTCTGATTTTCAATCTACGTGCTGGTTACGTGGGTGATCACTGAAGGAAGAGTCATCAAGCTATACATTTATATGTACACTTTTCTGCGTGTACATTAAGCTTCAACAAAAAGATTTTTGAAAAGCTTTTCTTTTTATTTTTTTTAAGTGTCCTGGTTTAGGTAGTAGATTATATGGCCACCCTAACCAGCATGCAATTAGTTTTGGTTCTGAAAACAGTCTCCTGCCCCATCCACCTTCATCCTACTCCTTCAGTCCATGTCAGGGAAAATTTAGATAGCTGGAAATGTATGGCAGATGGTAAAAGTTTAAAGGCTGCTTTCTTGGAAGATGGATTCCATTATATCAGCAGTGAATCATCTGTATTTCTTAGTGCCAGAAAAGAAGGAGAGGAAGATGAAGCAGCAGCAGCAGCCTCTTCCCACTAAAGACATAATTTGGATGTATGAAATTTCATTGGATCATAAAAATATAGCTTACCTAGTCCATTTTCAGGCAGAAACCCAAAAAACCTACAAAGACAAATGTGAATTCAACCTCTTTAAAGTTTTCAGCGCAAGATGCCAGCCTTCCTGTTCTTTGGCTCCATTCCAACACTCGACATCCCTCACCATGAGGACAGAATTCCTTTTATCTAATCCAAATTCTAAACGATCACTACTTACTAATTTTAGTGCACAAATAGGTGTCTTATAAATGTTGGTTGATTATATTTCCTTGAGGACATGGAGACTTTGTAGATAATCATTTCTATATTCAGTAAATCTTTTCAAACCATTTAATGCAACACCTTAAAAGGTATATCTTTAAAAGCTAGTTCAAGGGCCCTTCTCATCCCTACTTCATCCTCTCTGAGGGCAGGAAAGTGTCTTGCTGTTTCTCCTTGTATCTCCAGGGTCCAGGACAGCCCTGGGCTCAAAATATGTATGAAGCTCCATAAGTATTTTTTAAGTCTTATTTTGAGATAACTGTAGATTTCTGTACAGTTGTAAGAAATAATGCAGAGAGATCCCACATACTCTTCACATAGTTTCCCCCAATGGCAACACATTACATAACTACAGTATAGTACTGCTACAGGAAATTGACATCAATGTAATCCACTGGCCTCATTCAGATTTCATTAGTTTTATCTGTGTTCATGAGATCCTTAAGTATTTTTTAAATAAATAAATGTAAAAGCACTTTCTGCAGACTGATCGAAGTTCAGAAATCAAATTGATGGCAACTCCAACTTTACAGTTTCCCCGCCTCATGCTTTTTCTCCTCTGATGATTCAGAGGCACACCCTCCTTGTGTCTCTAGTGGGTTTTTTGCTCTGTTTTTTGCATTTTAAAATTATTTTTATGCTTAAACTTGTATCACAAACATTGCACACATCGTTAAATTATCTTTGAAAACATGAATTCAGAGTGTTACTATATTCTCATACACATTTGATTTCCTAGATAATAGACTAAACAATAGTATATTATTGAAATATAATTGACATATAGATTATTTCCAATATTTACTAAAATAAATTTCATTGTCATAATTATATCATTCTCCAGTTTTTAAAGAAAGCAAATGCGTCTTCACCCAATGGCTTAGTGATCTTTTATCCAAACAGTCAAGCCTTTTGCAATCTGTGTGATCAGGCAGCAGTAAAATAAAAATGGGCAAAATATTAAAACCTAACAATACATCTCCCTTTCTCCTGGTTTAGCCTCATTTAACACACGCGCGCGCACACACACACACACACACACACACAAATACCTGAGTCCTTGCAAGGTGTAGGTACCATGCTAAATGCTCTACATGTTTACATAATTCTCAAGTCTGTGAGGAAGGTGTGATTATTATCACCATTATACCAAGGAGGGAGCTGAGGCACAGAGAGAAGAAGTACCTTGCTCAATCTCAATTAGTGTTTTAAAATCCGTACCATTGTTGTTATCATCACCATCACCATATCGTCCAGGCACTGCCCCAGGGGAAGGACTCTTAGACGGGGAACTTGAACATTTACATGTGAAAAGGAAATACTCAGGATGTGTGCTTGAAAAGCAAATCATGAACAGTAAGTCCCAACAGCTTTTCCTCCTCAATCTGCATTGTATTATATCATAAGTTTCCAAAATCAAAACTAATCTCAGATGTTAGAACTCAGGAATAATCATCGTGACTGAGGAGAGTTACAGGTGTTACCAGGGGGTTCTGGGGTGCCTGGAATGTTGTTTCATGACTGGTACATGAGTGTTCATGTGATGAAAACACATCACTTATAATTTAGGTACTTTTCCGCATGTATGTGGTTCTTCAATAAAAAGTTTACCTAAAAAAATGTTGCCCAAAATTCAAAGACAACTATGTTCCCAATAAAGAATTTTCACTCTTGTCAGTACTATGGGCACCACAGAGAAATGTGTTAAACTTCTCATAAAACTGAAGTCTACCCACTGTGAGTGTCAAAATTTGACTTTTAAGCCTTTCACATTTACTCAAATGTTTTTCAGATTGGTTGCACACTAGCTTTCCTTCTCCAACAGTAGCATGAATGGAACACAATTTAATTTTTTATTGACGATTTTGGGTTATCAATAAAACATAGTATCCTATTACAATAAGGGAAGGCCCCTGGGGACTTCTGAAGCAGGAGAGGTCCCTGCCTCTGATCCCAAGGGGCCCAGACAATTATGAGTTTTTAGTCCCCGGGTCTAATTTAGAGTTTTTCTATTACTCTTTTAGTTTCTTGCTCACGTTAGGGTGCCTGCCTCCAACCTCTCCCCTCCACCATTCTGCATTATCTTTTATTCCTATCAGCTTGGCTTGTCAATTTTTATGATGGCAAAAATCTTACCGTAATCTGTTAAACCTGGGTGGTGAGTACGTGGGTATCTGTTATATTATTTTCTGTATGGTTGAAAGAGTTCGTAATAGCCTTAAAGTTAGAACAATGTTTTTGTAAGCTTGCAAACCCCAGAGCCAATTAGTCTCAACTCTTAAGCAGGCAGCTTGTGGAAATCTGAGGGGCTCTCACATGAGTGAGGCAGTTTTCAGCCCGTACCCTGGCGACAGAGAAATCCTGCTGGATAGCTGAACAGGCTTCAGAACGCTCTCTGGATAAACGAAGGAAAACCGCAAAATGGTGCATTTGCATAAGGTGTTTACATGCTTTTAAAAATGTATAAATAACCAAAATATGGTGGACTTCAGGAGAAAGGGGCAACCTTAACAAATCAACCGCATTTCTTAAACAAGAAGCTCTTCTCAACAGTTGTAAAAACCGCCTGGAGAGCGGAATTTAAGTAATTCCTGCTTCTTTGGCTTGGCACTCACCTAGACATCATTCCTGAGGCTCAGTGAGAAGGAAGAAAAAGGTCCCACGGGCCCACGAGGAGGGGAAATGGTATCAAACAGCTGCTTGGGATGGAAACAAGGGTTTTCTGTTAGACGTGCTAGTTGGCAAGACCATTTTTGCCCAGAAAATGAGTGGAAACATCAACACATATATGGGAAAAATACATTTTAAAACTTTTTAAATGAAAAATTATTGGTGGTGAAATGCTACTGTTGATAAACTTAGAAAGAAAGGGAGGAAGGAAAGAAAAAGAAATCCACACCTGTGTACAGTTATTCTTTCGACAATGAAGGGAAACATGAAGTCACTTGAATTGAATTGAATTGATTAGAAAATTTCTTGGGGGAAGAGTATAGCTCAAGTGGCAGAGTGCGCGCTTAGCATGCATAGATCCTGGGTTCAATCCCAGTACCTCCGTTAATAAGTAAAAATAAATAAAAATTTAATTACCTACCCCACAAAAAAAG